ACTTTTGGACATCATTATATTTACATATGAACGTAAATGTTAATATATACTGGCAGTTTCACAGGCGTAGAGTAATAACATTCGGCAAAAGCTGAGATTCCTCTCTGACTTCACTTGGCCTGAGGGTGCAGGAGCGTGAGGCCCGGCCGCACCCGCACCGCCAGCACGTAAGGGTGAAATCGCGCCGCCGTGCTCTGCGGGCCTTCTTCGGGAGGCGGGGAGATGACCCTCGACGTCGTGGAGGACGCGTGCGGGCGCGGAGACGTGGCCGGGGAAGTGAGTGTGGCGGTGGAGGAAGGGATAGAGTAGTGCGTGATGGGGATGGGCGAGGGGCGGGGGAGCGCCACCGAGGGAGAGGAGTAAGAGGAAGGGGAGGGCGAGGAGGAGGAGGAGGAGGTGGACGAGGGCGGAGGAGGCGACTCCGGAGACTGCGGGGAGGAAGGTCGGTGGAGGTGGTGGCGGTAGCGGAGGGAGGTGTCGATGCTGATGCAGGCCTCGCGCGGGGAGAGCGGAGACCCGCGCTGGCCGTTCCCGCTGCTCAGCACAGTCCCGTTTCGCCTGGTATTGTTGTTGCTGTTGCTGGTGTTGTTGTTGCAATTATCCTGGTCGTGCGGGGGATAAAACGCGTCATCCTGCCGACGCTGCCACTCGAGAACAGAGTTGAGAAGATTGATGTATTTTATAGCGAGTCTGAGGATCTCGTTCTTCGAGAGCTTCTTGTCGGGCGGGTGCGTGGGCACGAGGCGGCGCAGCTCGGCGAAGGCTCCGCTCACGTTCTGCTGCCTCCAGCGCTCCCGCGTGTTGGTGAAGACCTTCCTGATGTTGCGATGGTGCCCCACGACACCTCGCTCCTCGTTCGCTTCCCCAAGGCCGACCTCGAGGACCACGCCGCCGTCGCTCGCTTCGTTGCCGTCGCACGTGGACGCTGAAAGAACAGGGTCGAGTTAATGGTTGTAGGAATGTGTCGCGATGTTGTTATAAATGCTACAGTAGTGATGTTCGTATTTATTGATATATTTTGATCTTCGGCTTCCATATCCTAATTTATACAAGACAGTGGATTTCCACCTTGTAATTACATGCCGTGGGAAATGTAGACGGATAGAGAAACGTATGAAAGACGAGAACGTAACAAATACTACGCGTGAAAAAGAAATGTTATCACACCAAGAAAATATGAACTTTTATGGACATATATGTTTTAGCTAAACAGTATTATGTAAATACACGTTTTTCACTGAAGAAATTAATTGTAATGCTAACTAATGCTAGCCACATGAACGACGAATTGTGCTTGAGCTCCTCCATGGAATTAGAAAATGTAGAATAAATAGGAATAGGCGATCAATACAAGAAAAAAAAGTCTGTGACAAAACATGGCAAAGAAACATCAGATGTTTAAAAGATGAAAAAGGAGCTGCTCCAGCAATGACCGAGATAAAATAGACGAAGATAAGTCACAATTATTAAAGCCTTATTAAACAGTAACGAAATTGATATTTGCTTACTGTTATCGTCAGTCCAAACCATAAACACAGGAATTATGACCGTCTTCGTTTCATCATAAACACTTTTTCCCTTTTCTATAACAATAGTTCTCAAACTCTGGGTAATTAACCCCCTGTAGGTAATTAAGTTTGTTATGGGTGGTTAGCATGGCATTTTCTGAAAATATTAGGTCTTTGGAGTTAATGGGCAAATAATAATAATACATAGATAAATAAATGAATAGTGACAATAATAATCATGATAAATAAATTATATAATGTTCATGAAGAGGTGATCAAAGAGGACACAGCAGCAAATCTCAAAATTCCTTCGTTATAAAAGGATGAAAGATATGTAAGTAGATTACCATAACTACGATGAAGAATTGTTTTTCCTGTCAAACTGAAGGAGGAATATCCCATTCTCTGGCAAACAGCTTTTCATGTGCTTGTATTCTTTGCCACAACTGCTTAGAGACTACTTTACCGGCTCGAGTTTGCATTAAAATCAAAACAGGAAACAGCTAAAAGACGGATATGCTGATATGTGATGTGTACTGCTCTCGTATTGATATTTTATTAAAGGACAAACAATATTGTTTTCTTCTAATGATGCAGTTGTCATATTTCCCTCAAATACCTACAAAATTATGCTTTAATTTCGATTTATGAAACAACAATGTTTGAATTCTAATTATTTTTCAGAGGGATAACGTTTAAGTTCGACTAGCATTTATTTCTTGCATATATAACGCATTAAATTCAATCATTCTGATATGTGGCTTTTCTTTCAATTCACATAAATGAAGAGGAAAGGTAAAGGGGTATCGAAGCCAAAGACTTTGACATTGCTCTATAGGCTATACATGTGCACGAACCATATTTCCACCATCACAACTACTGCAGATAATAATATTGATTACGGATGATGGTGAAATGATATAATTAATGATGATGGTGATGAGATAATTAAGCAGCACAAACCTGGGTAAATAATCCTATGAAAATGCATAATGTTGTTCCATAAATCATACTCATGGACTTTCATCACAATCTATCAGTGCTGACCCGCTCACTAAGAAACTAACCAATGACACGGGCAGATTACAGCCTCTTCTATTCCGCCGAGGCCACAATAAGAACCAAACCATTTAATCATAAGACAAGAGTACAGTGAAATTAGGTTGGAATCAAGTGTTTGTCACGAGCGGGCATTTTAGGCGAGCATGAGAAGATACGTCCAAGGCGGGTAAACTATCTCGTAAACAATCTTGTAAACAAACTACCTCGTAAACAGAACAACAAGAACAACAACAATGAAACACATGACATCCCCGTTGTTCTCTCGCCTGTGACGTCACCTTTACCGCTGCCCGCCCTCGTGGCCAAGCCTTCGCGCACCTTGGGACCGACGCCAAGTGAGGAAGCGGCGACTCTGGTTCCCGCCGGAGAGGTTCGCGCCGCCGGAGGGGTCGTCGCCGTGGTCGTCGTCGGAGGTTGAGTCTCGCGTGTCGTCGGAGAGGTCGTCGCCAAGGTCGAGGTCACTGCTGTCGCCTCCGCTGCACCCGCCCACGCAACCACCCAGACAGCCGCCCACACATCCACCCAGGGCAGGGGGCGAATTCTCGTCCTCAACCTGTGAAACATTTACATATTGTCATGGTTATTGAACTATTATATCTGTCGCCCTATATGACTACACATAATGTGTCTGAATCATCATGCGCACATATACATTTCAATATCTTTATATCGAAATTATGGAAAATAATGGGATAACATAACATTCAGGAAATTTAGTAAAGCATAACTCCAATGGATATCATTTAGAGTTGAAGCGAAAGTTTTTAGTATTCAAAACAAATGATAATGTTTTGCGTCAGTGATATCGCCTCCCTTGGTAATGACAAAAATTATAATGAATAAGTATACCACCAACATCAATAATAAGCAATACTGATTATTATAACGATTATCCTCATAGCTGCAGTTGTGAAGTTGATGATAACAGCAACATTCACAAAAATGATGATAATGACACTGACAGTGATGATGATAAAAAAAACCAATGTAATGATAAGAAATGAAAGAAAAAAATATGATAAAATAATTAATTATTGGTTAAATCAACGGGGTAATAAAGCTGACATAAGAATAATACGGATAATGATGATGATTATAATCCTAATAATTAATAATGCTACAATATGATACAATAAAAACAATAATGATGATGACGGCAATAATGATAATAAATGATAATAGTCTAGTGCATTTGTTTTAATAACAATTGAATAGATAACATTGATTATAATAGTGATGAAATGGTAATAACGACAACAAGAACAACAAGAACAACAACAATGGCAATAGCGACCACGACGGCAATGACACTGACGACCATGGCGACTACAGTGGTGATTGGAATGGCAATTACAAGTTGACTTTCAAAAATCCGGTAATCTCCGGACCTGGGGAGTTACGGATTTTTAATGGTTATATATGTTGCATATATTTAACAAATTAAATACGTACACAGTCCTTTAAACAAAGAAACCCAAACACTTAACGAAAAGCTAACGAAATATCAATGCTAACCGAATAATATATTTTTCACCTCTTTTACACCTCTTTTCTTGAATCCGTCATGGGACTATACAGCAGCAAAAACATGATAAAATGAGAAAGAATGAGCAAGATTGCATGTGCAAGTAAGATCCAACAGCTGATTCTGTTGGAGTACAGACTCCAGAAAACAGTTAAGATCCAATGCGGTAAATCTGAAAATGCTCTCCGAAATCAAGGCCGGAAAACTGAAGGATCCAGATTTTCGATGGCCGGATTTTTGTACGTCAACCAGGACAATCATAATGGCTATGATAAAGATGAAGTTGAAGATGATAATGATAAAGATTATGATAATAATAATAACTAGAAATACTTCTGACAAGACAATAGGATAATAATTCAGGCGCCAAAAAATTATCCATATCTCGTATTGCCAATACGAAAATCTATAACAATGAAAAAAGTATACCTTTGACAAAATACAAGAGCATAGATAAACGGAAAACTATAAACAAACTAAAAAAATATAAGAAAAAAATAATGCAGAATGATGCGAAGTGTGAACGATTGTAAGAACAGTGACAAGCAAAATATCTGAGACTGTTACAGGCTGTCTGAAACAACAAACACAACAGAACTAAAAAGGAAGACGAGGACGATAATAATAATAATGAAGATGCTGATGCTGATAATGATAATGATAATATTAACAATAAAAACAATAACATTAGTAATGATAGTAATAATAATAATAATGATAACAGCAATGATATCAACAGCAATGATAATAGTAGTTGTAATACTGCTACTACTTATAATGATGGTGATAATAACTATATTAATCAAATCACAATAATAATAATGATAATGATGATAATGATAATAATTATTATAATAATAATAATAATGATGATGATGATAATGATAATAATAATACTAATAATAATAATGATAAGAAGAAGAACAATAACAGTAATAATAATAACAATGATAATAATAACGATAACAATATGATGATGATGATCATGATGACAACGATAACAATACTAAGAATAATATTGATAATAATAGTAATAAGGATAACAATAATAATGATAATAATAATACTAATAATAATAATGATAACAGCAATGATATCAACAGCACTGATAATAGTAGTTGTACTACTGCTACTACTTATAATGATGGTGATAATAACTATATTAATCAAATCACAATAATAATAATGATAATAATAATAATAATAAAAATAATAATAACGATAACAATATGATGATGATGATCATGATGACAACGATAACAATACTAAGAATAATATTGATAATAATAGTAATAATGATTAATAATAATTAAATCAATAAAATGATAACTAATGATAATATCTATATAGATAAAGAATATAATAATAACAAGAAAAAAAGCAATAACAAATATTGTATTAATAACAAAAATAACAATAAAAATGGTATAAATACTTTCAATGAATACAAAACAAAAACAACAAAAACACTAAAAATAACAAGATATACAATAACAAAAATAATAGTAATAAGAATAATACTAATGATAAATCTATGACAACATAATCAACAAAAAAAAACAACGAAATTATGAACAACGATAATTGGAAACATACATAGAACAACAGCGGTAGTAATAACAGAAACAATGATAATGATAATAAGAAAAATGACGATGATAATAATAATAACAGCAATAATAACAATATATATATATATATACATATATACATATATACATACATACATACATACATACATACACACACACATATACACACACACAGACACACATGCACACACACAAACACACACACACAACCATATATGTACATATATGTATATGTATATATACAGTATACAAACAGACACCACCCACACACGCACACAAACACACACACAGCGCTTTATATACATAATATATATATATATATATTATATATATATATATATATATATATATATATATATATATGTATGTATATTTATATACATATATGTACACACACACATACACACATGCATATGTATATGTGTATCACACACACACACACACACACACACACGTATATGTATATATATGTTTACACACACACGCGCACACGTATATGTATGTGTACACACACACATACATATCCGACAATAAACTCCAAATATTAAAAAATCTATGCAGCATAAAAAATCCAAGCTAATCAGCCACCCATAGGCCTATTGAGAACAAAGCATTTCAAGTGATAGCAGTAGGCTTTGACTGACAAGCGAACTTCCCCTCCAGTCATTATCAGCCGACGGGGGCGGTATCATGTGGCTGATCTGCCTGTTGCCTGCCTTGATTTGGAAGCGAGGATGCTCAGAAGACATATGCATAAGTGCATGCATGTGCATACCCACACTTACACACACGTCTCTCTCTCTCTCTCACTCTCTCTGTCTCTCATTCTCTCTGTCTCTCATTCTCTCTGTCTCTCACTCTCTCTGTCTCGCATTCTCTCTCTCTCTCTCTTTATCTCTTCCTGTCTTTCTTTCTTCTGTCTTTTTCTGTCCTGTCTCTCTCTCTGCCTCTCTCTGCCTCTCTCTCTCTCTCTCTCTCTCTCTCTCTCTTCTCTCTCTCTCTCTCTTCTCTCTCTCTCTTCTCTTCTCTCTCTCTCTCTCTCTCCTTATATATATATATATATATATATATATAT